TATTACATTTTATATATTATATTAATTATATTGATGTATTAAATATTAATGTTATATATAATATAAGGGTATTTTTATCAATATGAAAATATTCGACCTTGTTTGGAATTGATCATATTTTTGTTTTTTACGTTTTCGAGAAAGAAAAAATAAAAACGTTTCTAAAACGACGTTTGGCGCAATAAAGACAAAAAATGAAAACGAAAACGATTTTTTAGTTTAGTGTAAAATAAGAGAGAAATGAAAAATGACATTTAGTCATTTTTCATTTTTTGTTTTTATTTTTTCCTCTCTCGATTAGAGAGAGAGAAACATTAATGAGTTTTTTTATACTGAAAACAATCTCTTGATAAAACTACCAAACGCATTTTTAAAAATGATTTTTGTCTGAGATTGAAAACGTTTTCATTTTTATTTTTATACAAAAAATAAAATTATTTTAGAACGAGTTCTAAACACGCCCTTCATGTTCCATTTTATAGTATTTTTAAAATTACAATTAAATAAATAAATCAATTCTTTTCCTATTTTATTAATATTACTATTCTTATTCTTATTACTATTTCTCCCGCTGTAATTAAACGCACCTCAAATACCCAAATATATGGGAATGAATATAGAAGGTAAAGGTAAAAGCGGGGGCGGGATGGGAAAAGTATATCTAATCCCATTCCGCGAGCCCGTTTAGTTCGCCGATTTAAATTTTTAATTCGAGTTAAGATGTGACTTTATGTAAGATCTTTTTATTGTAATAAAAAAATTAGATGTGATTATTTCTGAGAGTTTTTTACTATAGTAAAACTCAAATTTTAAACTCGAATCGGTTAAATGAACGGAGCTATGTCTTTTGTCCCAAAAATACCTACTGAGAGCGTCAAACCACCAATCGTACAAAACGACATGTAGTTTTGAGGAACCCCCCAAGCAAGCCTAAAGAAAAGATAATCCGCCTAACCTAAAGCGCCTCCTCTGCGCCTTAATTTTCCTGTCTTTCATCTCTCTCTCTATCTTTCTCTCCTCCATCACTCTCTCTCTCCTGAACCGCCGCCGCCGTAAACCAAGCTCTGTCGAACTCTCACTCCGCCGCAACTCGGGAGCTTTTGTTCAACCTTCACACTTGAAAAGAAAAAAAAAAAAACAAAGCGAAAAACAGAGCAAGGTAAAAATAGATGCTTATTTTGGGTTCACACTTCCTTATAATGTAAAACGGCTGTTTATTTTCGCATTAAGTTGTTCGAAATCGATTTTTTTTTATTTTATTTTTTGGTTCCCTGTAAAACCAGTGCAACTTTTGGGTTTTATTTAGTTATTTATTTAGGTTTGTTTCTTCTGGGTTTATGGAAAAACCCTAGAGCTAATCAGTGAGAGTGCTAGCGCCGTCGGTCAGCCTGTCCCATAATCCCCGAGCATTTTCCGTTCTCTGTTTGTAATTTTTGTTTGAAATTGAGATTTTGTGGTCTTTGAGGAGTTTATTGTGCACGTTTCTGTTCATAATCGTTCATTTTCCTTTACTTCTATTCTATGATGGGATGGAATTCATTTTACAAATCTCAAAGTGGGTTACTTTGGAATGAAAATCTTAGCTCATTGGATGGATAATAATGGTCATTTGGCTTATCTGGTTTTTATAATTTGCAAAATGGTTATTGAGGAGTGGGAACAATAGATAGAACTTCAATTGTTTTTGTCATTTTTGTTTGAAGTTGAAATTGAAGTTTGGGTTTAGAGATTATTCAAGTTTTGTGTTTGAAATTTTCGTTTGAAGTTTAATTTTATGAAATAGAAATTAGTTTGTTGGAATGCTAGAATTTGTTGATGTTTGTCGGAATTGCAAGCAATACGGCCACAACATTCGACTATGTAATTTTTTATTTTCATATTATGACTTATGTTGGGCTATGTAATTTTCGTCTAGTAGGATGACTTGTTTGACTATATAACTGTTATATTCATGTTGCGACTTACTTAATGAATGAATCAAGATATACTTTGGGTTAGATATGTTTTTATGTAGCATGTTACTTTAGTGAATGGAGAACATCTCTATCATTTTCAAATATTACAAGTGTAAATTGGCCAACAAAATTCCTAATAAAAAGTTTTATGTTTTATGTTCCACAGTTTTGATGGCTGCAACTGCTGTTAATAAGAAAAAAGGCACTAAGGTCCAGAAGGCTCCGCCGAAAAAGAAGCAAAAGAGTGAGCTTTTCACTCCTAAAAGGTCAAAGAAAGAAGATGTTTTGGACCATTCTGATGTCTCAGATGAAGAAAAAGAAGTTGAGGACCATGAGGAGTTTGATGAAGATGAGGATGGTTCTGATTTGGGTTCTGATGTCTCTTCTGATACTGATAACCCTCTTGTTGATGATTTCCTCCAGGGAAGTGATGATGAAGGTACTGTGTAGCTTTTGTTGCCGATAATTTCTCCTTTCCCCCGTTTTAATTTTTTTTTTCTGAGCTAATGTCTTCCTAGTATGTAATTACAGAGGAAGGTTCGGGATCCGACCGTGAATCAGCTTCTGGGTCAGATTCAGAGGAGTCCGACTCTGATCCTGTGGCGAAGTCAATCGCTATCGATAAAGAAAGGAAGAGGGTAGAACAAGAAGCCATGGATGAAATGCAGCTCAATATTAAAGATGAATCCGATGAGTTCAGATTGCCAACCAAAGAGGTTATAAATTGTTTCTATAGCATTATGTTTTTATCAAAATTAAGTTGTAGAGCTTTTATGGTTTATCATAATTTAATATAATTTGTTTCGATGTTAAAACGTCTCCTGCTGTGCTTAGATTTTTTTTAATGACAATGATTTAGGAACTTGAAGAAGAGTCGAATCGACCTCCAGATCTTCAAAATCTCCAGAGGAGGATTAAAGAGAGTAAGTTATTTTATATTTGAATGCAATTATCATTAGTTCTTCTTAGTTGCTCACTTCAAGTTTAATCTTTTATTAGTTGTTCGAGTGCTGTCAAATTTTAAGGCTTTGAGGCAGGATGGGTCAGCAAGGAAAGATTATGTTGAGCAGCTTAAGAGGGATTTAATTACCTACTACGGATATAATGAGTTTTTAGTTGGAGCTCTTGTTGAGGTATTTGACTTATTTTTTAATTATTGATTTGTTCATAGTATCTTCTTTGGATTATGTTTTTCCTCTTTCGGTTATGGTGTGGGGCTGATGCATGAAAATTTGTGCGTTTTTTCAGATGTTTCCAGTTGTTGAACTTATGGAACTTATAGAAGCTTTTGAAAAGCCTCGACCTATATGTCTCCGGACTAACACTTTAAAGGTAATCTGAAGCACTTAAACAATATTTTTTTTTTATGATTTGCAATTATCATATGATATTGCCAAGTTTCTGTACCTTAATCAATAATGATGTTTTGTCATATATTGTGACCCCCATGATTAGACTCGGAGGAGGGATTTGGCAGACGTTCTTATAAACAGAGGAGTAAATTTGGATCCCTTGAGCAAGTGGTCTAAAGTAAGATTTTTTCTTGTTCTTTTTTGTGCTTTCATCTTTTTACCTGGTTATTTATAATACAAGTTAATTGCAGGTTGGACTGGTTGTGTATGATTCACAAGTTCCGATTGGTGCAACTCCCGAGTACATGGCTGGTTATTACATGGTATATGATTTTTTTTGGTTGAAATTTTTGGCGGATACTTTTGGTGATTTGATGCATGGTTAACTCATTTATGTTTATATTTGTTTGCATAGCTCCAAAGTGCAAGCTCCTTTTTGCCTGTCATGGCCTTAGCTCCTCAAGAAAAGGAACGAATCGTTGATATGGCGTAAGTTTTATATATATATATGTGTGTGTGTGTGTGTGTGTGTGTGTGAGAGAGTTAACAAGAAAAGGAATGAATCGTTGGGTTGCTTCCACGCTCTGTGTATAGGATGAACATATGGATTTATAATATTTTAACACATTCCTCAAAATTCACGAAACTGTTTTACTGTTAAACCATTATCCTTTTTATTACCCTTTCTGATAACATTTGAATCCTGTTGCAGTGCTGCACCTGGCGGTAAAACAACTTACATTGCTGCTCTAATGAAAAATAGTGGTATGTAGCCCAATCTTATTTGTTTATAACTTATATTGCTCCGCTACTATTTAATACTTCCACTCCCGTTTATAGACCCAATTTCTACTAGAGAATTATTGCCTTGGACGTACCTCATATCATTTTTCTAGCATAGTTTGTTTTATTGAAATTTTTTGCTCCTACCATTTTAGAAGCCATTAATTCTTTAAGGTCTTCCTTACCCTGCTCCATAAAGAAATAAAAAGATTTTTGAAATGCCAATGTTGTATGTAATATTTGCTGCTTTTTTCTTTGTTTAGTAAGAAGCACTACTTTTTGTTTCCTTTTTCCTCAAGTGTTCCAGTGCCACCATTTCAGGAATCATTTTTGCTAATGAGGTGAAGGTACCGAGGCTCAAGTCACTCACGGCAAATCTGCATCGGATGGGAGTGACAAATACAGTAGTTTGTAACTACGATGGAAATGAGGTGAGAATAAATTTTCCAGTTGGTTACATTTATATGAATATATGTGTGTGTGTGTGTGTGTATTTACAAATATTTGCCTGATGTTTTTGCATATCATTTTGTACTGCTTGATCACTAATGTTTTGAAATGAGAACTGCTGTAATTTATTTGTTCGAAGATTCCTATAATCTGTACTCTTTTCATCGATCTAATTTGTGACTATTTTGACAAGCTCTTGTTTGTTTTGTGTCTTCTAAGGTTCCTATGTTTTGCTCACGTCTGCCTTTTTTTCCTTTTCGTTTTTTTTTTCAGCTACCTAAAGTTTTGGGTGTCAACTCAGTTGATAGAGTGTTATTAGATGCTCCTTGCAGTGGGACTGGGGTAGGCGACAACATTGGATGAGCTTCTCATTTCTCTATTCATCCAATTCTGTCTTCAAATTATGAAACTAAAGAAGTCTTATTTTGCAGGTTATATCAAAAGATGAGTCTGTAAAAACTTCTAAAAGCTTGGATGAAATTCAAAAATGTGTTCATTTGCAAAAGGTATAATGATCACCCGTATATGTGTAGTACTTTTGTGTTTAGGATAGTTGGAGTTATTCATAATGCTTTTACTGCTACTGGAACTGAAATCCAAACAAATGCTAGAATTGTGCCAGTGAAATGTGCCAAAAAGCTGCATATAAGAACTTCAAACTTGTCCGGATAAAAGTTTTAGGAGTCTCAGTTTTTTCCTTTGGAGATTGATTTTCCACAACCTAGTACTTATTTATGTTTATTTTCGCTCAGCAACTTTTACTTGCTGCAA